AAATCGGTTTCTACGGTATAAATTGCAATGCATTACATTGGATTCAAGATTTTTTAACAAACAGAACACAAACATTAGTCCTTCAAGGTGAAACATCAAATAAAAATCCTGTAACATCTGGGGTACCTAAAGGCACAGTGCTTGGTCCAATTTTATTCTTAATATTTATAAATGATTTGGCAGAATATATTGAACATAGTACATTAAGATTGTTCGCAGATGACAGTATTATTTATAGGGAAATTAAAAAACCAGATGACACATATAAATTACAGTCTGACTTGGAAGCGGCCGGCAGATGGGAGCAGGATTGGCTCATGCATTTTCACCCTGATAAGTGCAACATTCTCAGTGTAACTCAAAAACGCAAACCTTTAGACTTCACTTATAAATTACACAATCACTCTCTAGAAAAGTTGACTCTACAAAATATTTAGGCCTAACTCTTCAATCAAATTTAAAATGGGACAAACATATCGATAACATGACATCAAAAACTAATCAGTCTCTGGGATTTATTCGTAGAAACCTAAAAATAGCCTCACCTAAAGTTAAAGCACATGCATTTAAAGCTCTTGTCCGACCAAAACTAGAGTACTGCTCAACTATTTGGGATCCACATCAAAAACAGCAAATTTCACAAATTGAAAAAGTTCAGAGAAGAGCAGCGTGCTTCTCATGCAACCGCTTCCATAACACCAGCTCAGTTACTGAAATGATGACAGACTTAAATTGGTACCCACTTGAAATTAGGCGTTTACGATACAGACTTGTCTTCTTCTACAAAATTATACATGAAATTGTTGCAGTCCCTACATATAACCTTTTGATCCCATTAGACAATAGAACTAGACATAGCAATCCACACTCATTTAGGGTAATACAAACATCTAAAGACAGTTATAAATATTCATTTTATCCACGAACAGTTATAGATTGGAATCTTCTGCCACAACAAATAGTATCATGCAGTACAGTACAGGGATTCAAGAGTATGATCTCAGAATCTGCTCTCATCCCCATTTTCTATCCCTAACTATTTTGTTATCAAATGTATATAGTTTTATCTAAATGAAATTTTTCAAATGCACATACATTATTTTGATTTTTTGATTTTGTTTCTTTTTATTTTTCTTGCTACAATGTAAATTATAAAATTTTATAGTCGACGCCCGGCGAATAATCTTCAATAATTGAAGGATCGCTAGAAACTTAAAGAAGAAGAAGAAGAAGAAATGCTACAACAACGTCATACTGGATAGCAATTTAAAAAGTGGACTTGGAGCATGTATTGGTGATATACAAGTCCCTGCACCCACATGTGCCGATGACATTGCTGTCCTGGCAAATAGTACTACTGACGCACAAGGAATATTAGACATAGTACAGCACCATTCAAGCAGAAATCTAGTTAAAATCATTCCAACTAAATCTGAAGCTGTTTTATACAATGCAAAAGGCTCAAACATATCAACACTGCAATTCGAAGACGATGACATCAATATAACCAATGAAACCAAACATCTAGGTATCAAAAGAAACGAACAAAACCGGGTAAATATCTCAGAAAGAATAAGAACCGGCAGGGCAACAATATACAGCCTTCTCGGAGATGGTTTACATGTCAGAAGGGGATTCTCACCCATGGTCGCATACAAGCTATGGAGAACATATACAGTACCAAGAAGCATCTACGGACTTGAGGTGGTGAACTTACTTGCAAAAGAAAAGGATATGCTAGAACTGGCAGAGAGAAAAATCCTCCGACAAATTCAAGCGCTTCCAAATAATACAGCAAATATGGCTGTCTATACCCTGGTAGGAGCAGAACCTATTGCCATCACATTAGACAAAAATCTACTTACCTTCTTCATGAATATTGTTCGAAATTCAGGAACCATAGAATGTGAAATTCTGCGCCGACAAATAGCATTTTCAGACCAAAGAGGAAAAGACTTTATCAACAGAGTGGAAAAAACTCTATCAAAATACAATTTGAAATCTAGTAGTTATACTACATAGAAAACCCACTTAAGAAAATCGAATGGAAAAGACTAGTAGGAATAAAGATCAAGGAATACTGGAAAAATGAATGTCATTATGAAAAAATGGAAAAAACATCACTTAAATACATAGAGATACAGAACAATCCATTAAATGAAGCTCACAATATATGGAAAAGGGTAAAAAACAATGGTAAAGATGTAAAGGCAGGAGAAATAAAAGCAAGAATAAGTACTCAAACGTACATATTCCAAGCCAAAAGAGCTAAGTTCGATCCGAAAGTTAACCCGATATTTCCAATCTGTGAACAGGAAAATGAAGATCTAGAACATTTTATTCTACGCTGCAAAGAATTGGAGCAAATAAGATCTAAATATTGCTCAAAAATCGAACAGACAATGGATGAAATTGACACCTCAACATACAAGAAGATCATACAAGGGAATTTACTGCAGCTCATAATGGACTGTACTAGCAAGGACATAAACTGTTACTCAACTGTGTATGAAAACATTGAAACTCTGGCTAGAAATATGTGCTATGAGATGCACATGCTGCTCACAAAAAAGGTTCCCTACTTTACCATCTTAGGTCATCTTACTATTTTATTACTTATTAGAACCTAAATTAAAAAAAAAATTGCAAAGTTTTAAGATATCAAGTACCTAAGTCCTTTAAAGAATAATGACAAGATCCCAAATAAGGTAATTTTAAACTGTGAAGGAAAACTTGTGTATATATGTCATGTGAATTGTTCAAAACCCCAACCCTTTTACATAACTCTTATAAAATAACCTTTTCATTATAAATTCTGATGTACGTATAGCACCTTTAACTAACAATTTTAAGAAAGTTTAATTTAAGACCACTTAAATTCTAAATTCTTATTTGTAAATATATCCAGTTCTTACTTAACCTGTTCTTACACCTCAGCACATTATGAATATAATTTTAAAATTTTATGACGACAATCCCATGAATTAATTATAATATTAATTATTTAGTTTATGACGACAATCCCATGAATTAATTATAATATTAATTATTTAGTAATTATTATTGCCTAAATTCTGTCATCTGTACATAATTAAATGTTTCCGTATATAGTTGCTACAATTATACCTTATGGGTAGTGCTCCACAATTAATGGAGGAATATACAAGAAACTGAACTGAACTGAACTTGATCAGTGCCCGATAGAAATCCGGATACTATCAAATAGACCGAAGTCGATTCATGTCATAACACGAGATGTTAACTTCCTATTCCCAAATTTGGCCGAGAAGAATGTCAACAAATGGTCACATATTTTACTTACAAAATGATTTACTTTAACTCCATTTTAGACTGAAAAGTCAAAGGATTGTTTAAGTTTAATATATGTCGAACCCAGATGATGTTTAATACACGTCTTCCTCAAATTCATCTGTAGAATCGTTAAACCTTATTATTTATTTATTTGGGTTTGGGATTTGCCGAGGAAGTTCTGACAAATATTAATCAAAATAATATATAAAAAGTCAGGAATATTCTTAAAAATCTCAGGATAATTTTTTGTGTGTAAGTTGTAGTTGATAAGCTCAATGGTGTTTGTAAATTAATATTTTGTTAAAACTGAAACTGATTGACAGTAGAATGGGAGCAACATTTTAACTACAAGAGTATGAACATAATGAATATTGATAATTGAGCCTAGTAACACTCAAAGTGTTAACTTAATTGATTAGGGCATAGAAGAATAATCACATAGACTTCTACATTTTGACACATGATGATTTTGTTGACTGTAAAGCTTTAAATCATGGCAGAGTTATATTTTCTAATCTATTCTCACAAGTTCTAATTTGTAGGATATCTTTGTCATGCATACATATAGCTAGCAAAAAAGTGTACACTTGTATGTAGTTAAAAATATTTTGTTAGACGTACATGTACATGTTTTTAAAGCTATTACATCAAAGACGGCTAATGTGACACATCAGGTTTATGTGTTTTAATTGAAATATTTGGGGAAACAACTGTTGGTGCTGTTTTGACTGAAAGAAATTTGTTTATCTGGCAAGAAACTTTAATTTAAGCTAAGATGAAAATTTTGGGCCTTTAAAATTTACTGTGACAGATTTACTTAACTTAGAAAGTCAGTACATTGTATTTCCCGTCTTTGCATAATTTATTAATGTATGTAATTACACGAAATAATGAACTGCAGATCTAGCATTATCAACTAACAGGTGTGTGTCTTTTAGCCATTAAGCCTACTAAAAAGTATACGACTCTGCATTACAATTTTTTTTAATAAGTACATGTATCAATTTTTATCAAAATATATGTTCAAAATGTGTTTATCCTGATTTAAGTAATTCAAATTCTGTTTTTTTAATTTTAATTTTTCAGTTTTTGACAAGTGCCTACATGTTATAGCACTGGAAAGATTATTAGATCAAAAACTGGCTGACCCTCTATTTCATCATGTAAATTGTGTATACCAGATGACATGAAAAAAGTCCTAAACATGGAATTGATTTAAGATATTTACAGTTGAATTACATGCATGTACATGTAGTAATAAAAAAGTATAAGAAGAAAAATATTCAAAGAAGTATAATATATTCTGTAGAAATAGATAGTTGCAGACCATGTAACCAAAATTTGCCTAAATACTAAAAGACTTGGCAAATCCTTGTGCAATATTGCTACAGGAATACAAATTCATTTTGCAATCAAAAAGTTAAATAAGATGTTTGATGAAAAGCTTTTCTTCTGATGTATTTATTTACAGTTCAGCAAACTAATCCTAAATTCCTACAATGTAACTGTTCATGGTAAACTGTAGAAGCTGTTACAGATACCTCTGTATAAGAAGCAAAGTTTTTGTTCTGCAATGTGACTTTAAGTACAACATGTAAGACAAAGCTAGTTGGCACTCATATTTCAAATGGCTGTAGTTGTATGGACACTGGTGTTGTTTTTGAGGTTGCATATACTTATAGATAATCGTTGGTTATCTCAACGAGATTGATTTTCTCGCTTGAGACGGTACGGCGAAAGTGAGAAAAGCAATCGAGTTGAGATGACCAATGATATTCTGTTTATGGCTATTTTACCTATGAAGACGTTTTTAATTTCCTTGACAACGGCACATGTTCCCTTAGTTTCTAGCTATAATTTTCACATCACTCGACTCCGCTGAGAACGGAAATTATCAGTCAGCAAGATCAAAGGAAAAATTCGTAAAATAGCGATAAATGTATATACATGTCTGATATTTTATTTGATTTTTGCAACATTTTCTTTTCAGAAAGGAATGCCTAACAATAATTTTCTGTAAAGTAGGATTAACATCATTATTCAGATGAACAACAAAATGGAGAGAGCCGCTTCTCCTGCCAGACTTGCCTACACATCAGACAAACATCCACGACATACATTAGAATCAATCAATGTCTTAAGGAAGCACAGAGAACTTTGTGATGTTGTCCTTATTGTTGGTCAAAGGAAAATTTTTGCTCATCGTGTGATACTATCTGCATGCAGTCCATATTTTCATGCCATGTTTACAGGCGAACTTGCTGAGAGTAGACAGACAGAAGTGACAATTAGAGATATTGATGAGGCAGCTATGGAACTCCTCATTGACTTTTGTTACACATCTAACATAACAGTGGAAGAAAGTAATGTACAAACACTATTGCCAGCAGCTTGTTTATTACAACTTGCAGAAATACAAGACGTTTGTTGTGAATTTCTCAAGAGACAATTAGACCCATCAAATTGTCTTGGTATAAGAGCATTTGCTGATACACATGCATGTAGAGATTTGTTACGGATAGCAGATAAATTTACCCAACATAATTTTCAAGAGGTAGAGTACTACTTTGTATTTAAACAAATATGTTAAACTACAGGACTATGTAATAAGTTTTTAGTAAAATCACGTATAAAAATCCTGAAAACATTATGATTAAACTTCATGTACCATTAAGTATATAAGTAACTCTCTACTGTTCTAATATGAACGGCAACTGGTGAAGAATATTGTATGGTATACTGAATTTAAATGTACAGCCTGTCCTGTTTCAGTCCTTTGAACTTCATCTTAGGCAAAAGTCATTTTACTGTTGTATGTACATGTGCAGGTATTTATATTAGTTTTAAGCAGTTAAGTGGGTGATAAGCTGGTAGTTAACCATATGCATTTTGTTTGCAACTTACATGTAACCAGAAGTTTAAATGATATTGGTAACCTGTTATTTGACAAGTTAACTGGTGATGTTAGCCAGTTAACCAGTGATATTAGCCAGTTATCCTGAGTAATAACCAAGGAGGTAAATGTAGTTTAATTACCATGAAACTTAGCTTTCAATGAAAATTAATGAATAATAAAGGGCTGGTCATAATCAACTGACACAAACAAAACATGTATGTTTTTTTTCCGTAATATTAGTTTTAACTCGTTATGAAGCTTTTAATTAATTTTTGTAAAAACTATTATACATATAATTATTTGATGTATATGTACTTGAATACAGGTAATGGAAAGTGAAGAATTCATGCTTTTACCAGTGAATCAGTTAGTGGATATAATCTCAAGTGATGAATTAAATGTAGGATCAGAGGAGCAAGTGTTTAATGCTGTCATGTCTTGGGTAAAATACAACACACAGGAACGAAGATGTCACCTACCTAATGTAAGTTCTGACGTACCAAATACAACATCTTAAACAGAACTGTAAAGTAATTAATTAATGTCTGCATTTTATTATTGCAAACCTGATACCGTTGCATTTTTCACATTAATAAAAACATCGCAATAATTTCTGAATTTCCAGTAAATCAGTAAAAGTATGTTCTTTGAGAAATTAATGCCCTTTGCAAAGTTTAGTATTGAAGATACCTAACAGGTATGACCGTATGACAATATGACCTTTTTTTTTTTTTTTTTTTGAAGCTTTTTATTGAATATATGAATTAAAATGTGCTGATTTCACTTTCATTTTTATCTGTAAAATTACATCAAAATTTCATTTGTTTAAGAGGATTTAAAAAACTTATTGATAGTGCTAGAACAAACTTTCAGTAACCCTTATATAAAAATATATTATTTCTAAATTAATTTTCTGTTCAAGAATATTCAAGAACAAAATGAGTATTTCTAACAGTAACTAGTACACTATAAGTATCACATAATTGATCATTTGGATAAAATTTACTTTTAGATGAACTGTAAATTCAGAAGTTTTTGTGATGTACAAATGTATTTATTATTGTAAAAATTGCGACAAGATATGTTTCGCAAATATGAAAACTCATATTATTTGTATACAGCAGTTCCTGAAATCATTAAAATAATTTAAAATCTCTCATTTTTTGTTCATTGTTCAAAAGATCAACAATCCCAAAAATAAATGCCATCCATAGTTTTTTTTTTTAGCAGGAAGGCAAGGGCAATTGCCTGAATTAAATATTTGATATAGCCAATTTTATGTATTTTTTGATAGCTGAAAATTCTGTATTTTGAGAGATGTTAATCAAAATAGGGGGTCTATTTTAGTCAATTTAAAAATTTATCGTTTATAAAATTGACTTTTTTTTCATTATTGTTAAAGAAAAAAAGCAACAGTAAAATGTCATTAGATAATTCTAACTAGGTCAAATGTCAAAATATTATAGTAACATTTACATGTATTCCATGATTTCACGAACATTATTGTATGACAGGTCACACAACATGTTAGATTACCCCTGATGAGCCCTAAGTTTTTAGTTGGGACAGTTGGTTCAGACATTTTAATTAAGAGTGATGAATCCTGTCGAGATCTTGTTGATGAAGCCAAAAATTATCTGTTATTGCCACAAGAACGTCCATTGATGCAAGGACCAAGAACAAGACCAAGAAAACCTATCCGATGCGGAGAAGTACTTTTTGCAGGTATAACTTGGTTTGTGAAAAACATCATTGAATATCTACCTTACTGAAATCATTATTTCACACCTTATATAGGGTATACCGAAAGAAAATGGATAGTTTAGTTTATTTCTTGGTAATGTGTCAGATTTGGTTTTGATTTTTAACCAGGTTTTCCGATTGCCTGCAGTTTCCATGCAGTTACTTATGAACCTTTCAACCAATGCTTTTCAATTTTAAATATGTTGTTTCTGATGACAAAATTGAGATCAAGTTTGATATTGACAATTTTCACTTTTACTGTTCAGGAGTTTCATTCTTTTAATATATTGGAAAATTACACTTTATATCTTTTCTGTGCAATAACTTATGAATCTTTCCAACAATGCTTTTCAAATTTTAATATGTTGTTAATGATTTCAAAAAGGAGGACAAGTTCTGTATTGATGATTTTCACTTTTACCTTTCATGAGTTATGTGGTCCTTGATAGCTTGGAAAAAATGCACAGTGCCTTCAACATTCAGAAAACCTGGTTTGCTGTCAATTTGACAGCTCATTTCTTGAAATATTTGTCATTGTTCTTTACAGTTCATGTTTACAGCCGATTTCATTGAGTGTGTAGAAAAAGGTAAAATCTTTGGTTAGCTTGCTTACTAGCTGAACTGTGAAGTCATTACTATAGTCCGTTTGACTTCTATAAATCTTCAGAAAATAATTCTTAAAAATTAATTTTTGCAAATAAACATTTTTTTTTCTTGATGTATGTTAATGTTTGATATATACGAACTCTGACTATGAATATCATAATTTTGGGCCAATAATTAAAAAAGTTACCCATTAGGTCTCTATGTTACTTCTATTTTTTTTATATATAAAATACTTGATGGAGTAAGTATGAATAGTGTAACAGCCTTCCATTCAAAACAAAAACATTAGACATGTGTTTTAAACCCGTTTCATTGTACCATGTGACTCATTTAAATATCAAAGGACACTATACATGTCATGAAAAATGACCATCATCTAAGTTGTTTTATAACTGGTTTTATATGATCTTATAAATGAACTTGCATGTATCTACAAAGATGTTATTTGTGGGAAAAAATATAATAATCAGATGTTTTATTTTGTTTTTATTCCTTACCAAATCTTAATTTTTGTTACCTTAATTTGATTACATATTTATATATATCTTATAAAAGAATATAAGCAAGCTTTTTATGCTTAAAGCATGATGACAGTATTAACAAAATGGAGAGCCTCTAAAAAGTTACACCAATAAGTACAGAATACATTTAATATTTACTTTTTTCTTGAAAAAACACAGCTTATGACTTTCAAAATATGAAAATAAAATTAGATAAAATATTACCATAAAGACCTTTACTGATGAAAAGGGGAACTTTTTAATAAAATTTTCTAAACTGAATTTTGCATAAAACTACTTTGTAGTTTTTAAAAATGTTATACTAGTAATTTCCAGTGGAAAATATTACTAAGGTTACTCATAGAAATTGAACAATGAAAAATACAAAATCATGTATACAATAAGTTCAGTAACCACATGACATAAAACTTAAATGAAGTCCAAGTTTGTTTGCTGGTCAGGTTATTAAAATGAGAGAAGTCACATGGTATAATGAAACGGGTTTAAAGCACATGTCTTATGTTTTTGTTTTGAATGGAAGGCTGATACACTATTCATACTAACTCCATCAAGTATTTTATATAAAAAAAAATTGGAGTAACATAGAGACCTAATGGATAACTTTTTTTATTATTAGCCTAAAATTATGATATTCATAGTCAGAGTTCGTATATATCATACATTAACATACATCAAGAAAAAAAATGTTTATTTGTAAAAATGAATTTTTAAGAATTATTTTCTGAAGATTTATAGAAGTCAAACGGACTATAGGTTAGGTAAACTACCCTCCTTTATGAGTAGATTAGTCCGACAGACAGATAGAATTGGTTATCTGTGGGACTAGTCTACTCATAAAGGAGGGTAGTTTACCCAACCTAATAATGACTTCACAGTTCAGCTAGCAAGCAAGCTAACAAAAGATAATACCTATTCCTACACACTCAATGAAATCGGCTGTAAAATGTAAGGGATGATGTACATATGATTGATACACATCTGTACAGTGTTGTACTCTTATTATTATATCAAATACATGCAATTCATTATAGTATGGATTACTTGCACTTTTTAGAAAAGTTTCCTTGTGTGTAGTTTCAACCATTAGTATATTTGTTGTTTGTTTGTCCATTGCATTTCTGTAATAAAGGATGATTGACTAAAATATATCATTTCCTTAGATGCTACTATTCCTTTTGATTCTGAAGAAGTGTGAGCCTTGTGCACTTAAACATGTAATAATTTTAATTGTATATATATTCTAATGTAAGAACAAAAATTTGTTAATTTGAAAAAAATCAGTTTTATCATATGAAAATTTCACACTTTTTGGAATTAAAGATTTTCACAGTGATTTGATCTGGGCAACCATGGTTTGCTCTTTATCTCTGGAGAATATTTGATTGTCATTGAACATCAATCAGATACTCCATAAGTTGTATTATTTTGTATAGAAATATTTATAGTAAGTCATCACTTAGAAAAGTACTGGTGAAATAATTTGACAGTCACTTACTCTTTTTTAAAACATTTTCATTTCTTTATACATTTTAGTTGGAGGTTGGTGCAGTGGTGATGCCATTTCAAGTGTTGAGCGGTATGATCCTCAAACAAATGAGTGGCGGATGGTTGCACCAATGAGTAAACGGAGATGTGGCGTGGGAGTAACGGTACTAAATGATCTATTGTATGCAGTTGGAGGACACGATGGCCAGTCATATTTAAATAGCATTGAAAGGTAACAAAAGTATAAAAATGATTGACTACAAAAAAGTTCTCTTAGTTGTGGATTTATATGAATTGAACGAGATATTGATAACTCATAATAGAATACAACAATTCACCAATGCAGGGTAATTTGAAAAAAAACATAAATATCAACTGGTCACTTTGTGTTGTTTCAAATTATCTTGTAAAAGATAGAAATGAAAACTTTTAAATTGATAACAAATTTAATATCTGTAGATAAATGTATGCTGCCATGCTTTTCAAAAGACTAGTCTTAGTATGGAAGAATATTTTTTAGGTTAGTTTTAGTATAGCTGTAAGTAGTAATGGCCAAGGAGAACCACCCGAGTACTTTATTTACACCTCTCGAGTGCTGGAGGTTGTGGCTAGAATTCCAGCAGAGTCTAATCAAAGACTTTTAAAATTGGTATTTGCTGCTACTGAACCTATCACACTGCATTTTATAGCAGTACAAACAAAATTTAGTAGCTAGGAATCAAAATATTGAGTCCAACAAGGTAGTGATATGTCCTCCTGTACACTTACATGTTGAGCCAGCATGTGAAAAGTTCAACTAAAGATGTCAGTGTAGTATATAGCAATTTTATGTTCTTATTTTAATATGTTTTCAACTTCAATATTCATGTAATATTGCCACAGCTGTTAATCAATCAATCAAGCAAGCAAAAAGTTCTGGCCACCACACTTGGAATACATTTATTTTAAGAAATTTGATTTCATTCATATGTTTAAAATTTACTTGCCTAGGCTCATTCACAATCAGTCATATTTTTTTACATTTAGGCATAGGAGAATAATTGTATAGATCATTTCTTAGCAAGAACTTATTGTTTGTTTATATATTTTGGCTAAAAAAGATCAATACAGATTTATATCTAATCCTCAAGAATTTCAGTTGAATAAGCAATACATTCTTTTGCACATTTGTTATATCTATCAATATATTGTTTTATAAACAATAAATTATAATATGTGATCACTTTCAGTGGCACTATTTGTTAATTTTTCTTTCAGATTTGATCCACAGACAAATCAGTGGAGTGGTGAGGTAGCTCCTACCAGTTCCTGTAGAACAAGTGTTGGTGTGGCAGTTTTAGATGGATATATGTATGCTGTTGGGGGTCAGGATGGGGTATCCTGTCTCAATTTTGTTGAAAGGTAAAGATAATTTTTGGCTATAACATTTACAAATTATAAATTCAGTAAAGTTTACAATTAAAAATGCAATATTTATACAGTATCTACAATATATAACTGTTCATATACAACATGGATTCTAAAAAAACATCTAGGAACAAATATTCCATTACCAACAATGCTATTGAAATGTTGAAATGCTTTATACAGACAATATATGAGAGTCACGATGGGGGCTCTTTAATTTTCTTTAAATTTTTTGGTAATTTTCCTTTATCTTTGAAAATAAAGAATATCTGTGTTTTAAATTCTCATGAAAATAACTTTTCTGAAAGTAGATGATTTCTTTATTATTTACATCGTTCAATTCTATTGTCCTGAACATGCATGAAAAATTTGCCACTGGACAAGCAACCAACAATCAATTGTTCAATTTTGTAATCAGTTTTGCATTGCTGGAATCTTTTATGTTCCACACTTATTCTTTATTCTTTTCCAAGATTTTAGGAGATTGTTAAATAAAATAAATATTAAGAATTTTACGCCAATAATATCTTGTTGATTTTCTTAGATATGATCCTCAATTAAATAAATGGGCTAAGGTAGCATCAATGAGTACGAGAAGATTAGGAGTAGGAGTAGCTGTACTGATGGGCTACCTTTATGCTGTAGGTGGGAGTGATGGTACATCACCTTTAAATACAGGTTTGTTATTCTTATCAAATACATACAAATATTATATTTTTCATGTACGGCTTTGGTTACCAAACATTATAGATAGCTTTTCATCTTCTACTATATAAAAAAGCACCATGGACCCAAAAATGATTTAAAATTGGCATTTTACAGCTAAAAACAAAAACATAACAAGATAATCATATCTAGTCTTCATTTTACTAGGGGAGGGGATATCATTAAAGGAACATGGGGGTATCATCAATGAAACCATCAGAAAATGATTGTCATGATCCTGACTTGGTATGAACACTTATAACCACTTGAGTAACAGTTATTTATGCAAAACAGTCAGTCATATATACATATCCAAAACTCAAGTTACAAAGCATCATCAGGAAAGAGCTTTATGCAACAAAAAATGAAAGTAGGTAAAAGTTCATTTTTGGCTCATGTAAAATATTTAGCTTTAAATAGAAATACTGTTCAACATTTATGAAAAATGCAACATTGATATATAATGAGTGGTTTCTCATTATCACATGATAAATATTTCATGTCTTTATACTCAGGATTTATAAAAAGCCTAAGGAAACTACAGAAAATATCTGAATGAATAGGATTAGAAAAAGATACAATACCTATTAGGGGAAAAAAATCTTGATTAATCAGATATAAAAAAGCAATAAAAAATGTAATACATCCTGTACCGGCATGAGTACCAGTTCTTCATTATCAAAGAATTAAATAAAACCAAAATAGACATGCAGACTGTATATGAGTGCTATATTTATATTTTTTCCTGACTCTTTTTACGGTCGTATATTGGTATCACGTCGTCAGCATCGTCCGAAGGCATTTGGTTTCCGGACAATAACTTTAGTAAATGCAAATAGAAATCTATGAAATTTAAACACAAGGTTTATAACCACAAAAGGAAGATTGGGATTGATTTTGGGGGTTATAGTCCTAACAGTTTAGGAATTAGGGGCCAAAAAAAGGCCCACATAAGTATTTTTCTAGTTTCCAGACAATAACTTGTGGAACGGTATATGGATCTCTCTGAAATTATACCACAAGTTTCCATAACACAAAGGGATGGTTAGGATTGGCTTTGGGGGGTTATGGCTCAAACCGTATAGGAATTAGGGGCAAAAAAGGGGGAAAAACAAGGGTTTCCTGGTTAATGGATAATTTAAAAAAAAGTACAATGTTATGTTTAGATTACCTCCCTTACACTGCTTTTAAATTATGTATAAAGAAATGTTCTATTGTCTTGAGGTGATTAGCTGTCAATTTATTTTTTGAAGTTACTATTTAAAAATGCTGATAGCCATGATTATAAAATTGAGAATGGAAATGGGGAATGTATGCCATTTTCTATTTTAAGACTTTTATGATGTATTTAAATGGGTAATTATGGTTGCAAACTCCATTGAAATTTGAATTGAGATTATGGCCATATCTTGAGGGAAAGAATTTTTTTTTTTGGGAAAAAGGGTGGGGGGGGGGGGGGGGGGGGTAAAAAAAAATTGGGAAAAGGGGGGGGGGGGGGGGGTGTAAAAAAGAAATAGTGAAGGGGGGACAATTATTTCTCATTTCAGATTTCAGAAATTAAAAAGAAAATTTCTTCAAATATTTTTTTTTTTGCAAAAAAAAGCGGGGAGGGGGGTCAATTTGCAACAGCATAGTGTATTGCACAAAAGCAAAAAATTTAATATAAATTCAAATCATATAACCAATTCTAAGTTCTTTGACTACAGTTACTCTGTGTCAGAAACCTATTATGTGTCAAATATTTAATTACAATCCAAATTCAGACCTGTATCAAGCACGAATATTGTGTCCATTTTTGCCCCAACTGTGTAGGGTTGGACATCTGCGGTCGTATCCAGCTGCGCTTGGCGAAGCAATTTATTTTAAACTGTCATAAATTATTTACAGTAAATAGAATAAAATTTGAGATTTACTGAAACAAATAAATTTAAACTAATATCTAGGTACCAGTTATAAAGAGTTAGTACTTTGAAGCAATGCTGTGGTACTATAAACGGTTACTATCATTTAAAATATCAAACAAAAGTTAAACAATACTTTACAGTTGAACGATATGATCCAAGAACCAATCGTTGGACACCTGTTGCTCCAATGGGAACAAGACGTAAACACTTGGGTGTAGCAGTGTATAACAATATGATATATGCTGTCGGAGGCAGGGATGATACCACAGAATTGAGCAGTGCTGAAAGATACAATCCACATTCTAATACATGGCAACCTGTTGTTGCTATGACATCCAGAAGAAGTGGGGTAGGTTAATATTTAGAAATGAATTCAAGACATTTGGGATATACTTCATTATAAAATATAAGTTGAAGACAGTAACCCTCTTGTTTCAGTGTTCAGAAAGTTAATAAATATAGATGTCTTCATAAGGTAGAAAGAATAAGCTATAGTTTTCACAATACCAACGGGCTTAACAAATTTTTATGATGCAGCTTGAAATTAGGTGTTGAAACTGACCAAATAATTAAAAAAATTTCAGCACTTTGCAAGTAAAATGTTGTTCATAAAAAAAAAAGCACAGTGTTATGAAAATGTACATTTAGTTTTAGTATGGTGATTTTCTTTCTGCTTTATCCGAAGATTGGAAATAGTAAACACATTTTTAAATATAAAAAAAAAAAATTGTAAGGGTTCCGCGGAACCCAGTGTCTTGCCTACTTTTGCTGCTAGTCACAGACTCAACAAAAATGGGAAATTATTAAAAAATTTCCTATAGATAGTATCTTTTGATTGTAAGAAGCTTCTGTCCAAGTTTGGTAAAAATCCAGAATGGTTTATGAATCTAATAAATGTTCTAAAAACTTTTAACTACAGACTGTATGTAATGTTAACTGGAAGAAAAACTAGGTCCATTTATAAGTTATATACGGAAAAACAGGAAATAAATTTTTACAAAATTTCCTTCTAGACACTAGCTTTTGATCATAAACAAGCTTCTGTCCAAGTTTGGTACAAATCCAGGATAGTTTAAGAAAGTTATAAAAATTTTTAAAACTTTAACCACAGAGTGAATGTAATGTTAACTGGTAGAAAAACTAAGTCCATCTTTAAGTAATATACGGAAAAACAGGAAATATATTTTTACAAAATTTACTTCTGGATACTATCTTATGATCATAAACAAGCTTCTGTCCAAGTTTGGTAGAAATCCAGGATAGTTTAAGAAAGTTATTAAAATTTCAAACACTTTAACCACAGAGTGAATATTTGTGGATGCCGCCGATGATGTAATGTAGAATCTCTATGCCTTGCTTTTGCGACAAAAGTCGCAGGCTCGACAAAAAGGTATGACTACATGAATTTATGACATGAAAGCTATCATTTATTAATGTCATTTCATGATCCATTTGTTCTAATCAGGTTCAAAGTTAAAACACAATTGTTATACATTTTTTAAAAGAAATTTGAAGTATATTTGTAAGGTGAGTGAAAATTCTGTGAGCAATGTTGAATGCATAATATAAAAGGGAGATAATCTTGGTCCTGTGTAGATCATCCATTACACATTTCCTTTTCCCATTGATAAGTTTGAAATGAAGATCTGAATTCACACTAGAACTAAAAAAATTGTTTGACTCAATCATATTTTATTAGACCAGAGTCTATTTCTTATTCATAGTTATTTAGATTGAATAGATTCACACTATTACATTAATGAAATATAAGGGGGAAAATAATACTTGACATTGATTCAGCAATTTAAGATTTCAGTCCCTCCATCAAATTTAATGAAGCTTAAGTGGTATGTAAAAATATTGAAGCAATGTATTAAAATACTTAACCAGCTGATTAGTTGTAGAGGTGAATCAAACTGCAATTTGGTTAAACATGTTACCAATTGGTATATTTAAAGGAAATCAATGATTCAATGCTTTTCGAATATGCACAGTAATATCAAATGGAATATTTTCCTAGATCTGATTCTGAGCCTCAAGTTAAATTCTTTGTTTATAACCAATCTTTCTTTTATACAGGTCGGTTTAGCAGTAGTGAATGGGCAGCTTATGGCTATCGGAGGATTTGATGGTACAACATACTTAAAAACAATAGAAGTTTACGATCCTGAAACAAACAGCTGGAAATTATGTGGTGGAATGAACTACCGACGGCTTGGAGGAGGTGTAGGTGTGGTCCGAATGCCACAGAACGAATCTCATTTATGGTGATGTACAGCATAAAAAAATTACAGACCTTCAATTGACAGTACAAGGTCTAAGACTTTTTGTTCACAGGTTAAGGTAGAAAAAAACCCTACATTGTAGATTAAGTTTATTGGTGCCACATTTATGTTTAATTGCATTTATTTGAATTAATTGCAAAATATTTGTTATTCTGTATTTTTACCATACTGACAGAAGTTTTAGGATAGTGTTTTTGCATTTTGAAACTTTTCTATGTGCATCCTGTTAAGTCAAACAGGAATAGATCATACATTGTTTTTTTTTGGTAAATTTTCTAACATTCTTAAAGATTGTGAGTATTGTTGATTTTTTTTAATATATATTAATATGCTTGAGGTATACATACTAAAATATATTGCATAGTAATTTTGAAGCACCTGTCACCAAGTGTTTGATGCATATGATATTTTCCCTATATCCCCCATTCTATCTGTTAGGAATAAAACAGTTGGTAAGTCTTTTTTTTTCATTACTAGGTATATTAAAATTATATTGGTATGAAGTTGCTTAATGACAAATTTTAGATTAAGTTCATGCATCCTTCCATTTGGTTGATCCACTTTTTAATGGAAATACTGCACTTGGACTTGGAAAATCTTGTGAAATCATACCTTCAGTACATGCTTAATGATGAATGAATGGTTACTTTGTTTATGTTTTGTTTCAATTCACACTCTTCTTATGGAATTATGATCATAAGAAAGCACATTTCATATTTTTTTCCTGATATTGCTTGGAGTGTAGGTATTTACATGATGATGAGTTACAGTATGCTGGGATCAAATTACTACAAACTCATTACTTTGTACCATCATATTGGACACAATATTTATATGCCTAATGGTATCCTCATTCATGTTTTTCTACAGAGCCATGTTATATGCTTCTGATTAAATGCCTTCTAAATATTTATTTTTATTTTTGCAACTATTTCAAAAAACACAATAATGGCTTATTATGTGCTCTTAACGCAGTTGCTTGTTTTATTTTTTTTTTTTTCGTTCAAAAAGTATGTATAAAGATTGTTTAAGTGTATTTATATTTTAACAAGTTTAACTGGATATTCGTGTCAAGGAATGATTACTTGATGCTGTCTCATAGTTTTTTTTGTCATTGTTTTATATCATTATTGGGCATTAATTACATATGTATGTATGATATTTATTTGGGTATAATTTTCTTTTGATAAATTAAATGAAGGAAATAATAAGAGGAGAAAATAGATGTAAAAATTAGTATATGCTGTTCATTTTAGGGTTAAGTTTATTTCGTTTTATGAATTAGATAGTTTAGTAACATTTCAGATATTTTATATAAGTATTGTTTTTTATGACAGTAAAAGCACTTCATTGTTATCAATATCAGCATTCTTTGTAGAAAGGTAAATTCATAATTTATTTCATGTTTTTTTAGTGCAAATCTTTGATGTATAGTTTATTTTGTGTTAAGGGCATCCAATACAGTTTTGATTTCTGATGACAATTTGCATACATGCTATTTTATACAGCTTCATGTGCTACTTTTAGAGATAAATGGGTCGAAATTTTAGACATTTGTAAAATTTTTGGTTACTTGGAGATTTCTATCCTTTGGACAGACATACCTAACTTTTTTGTTCAAAAATGTAAACATTAAAGGATTTTTATAAAAACCTTTTGGATATCTTCCTAACATAAATATGCTTTAAATTTATGTAACAATTCCTAAATTTAATTTAATTTTCATGATTTTAGAAAAAAAAACGGCACTTTTTGCTTTTATTTTTTAAAAATACATCAGTGATTTGTTCATAAATATTGGTACAAATAATCTTCATACATAACCTAGCTAAATGTCATTTTAAAAAAAGAGGGGCCCGCTTATTTGTTTTCAAGCTAATGATTAAAATCACAATTTGATGTCGCAAAAAATAACATTTTATTTTAGCAGTGTAATTATCTCCCTTGTAACTGTATTGTATGCCTTTAAATTGGTTTTGTTTGTTTGACTGATTCAAAGATAGACAATAGTTGAATCATTGATTTGATCACTATAATTGATTTGGCTGATTCACCGGTCTGAAAAAAATGTCAAACAGAATCAGTTTAGTTTTGATATAGAATTGGTTCAACATGTTTTGTAATGCAGTTTCATTGAATCTATTTAGGCAACTATATACTAAAGTTGTTCAAATCATTGTCTTTTGATGGATAGTAGTCTTACTGTCAATTGTACCACACCTCCTAAGTTTTATATTATATAAAGGATATGTTTTTAAGTTGTATATACTATCAAAACTTAAAATGCAAGTTTTAAGTATTTATAATGATAATCCTGTTGTATTTTTTACAGCTATAAATTTACTATTATGTAGGCTATAAATGTGATATTAAATTTCCTATAAATTATTCCTTTTAAATCATTATATCATAGAGTGCTAAATATTTATATGTTCAATGTTTTAGTGAAGTTATGATCATTCATGTATGTCCTCTGTAAATATTTGTCTCTGGGTTTTTTCTTTTGCTTCCTTCAACTAAGATCCTTTAGAAATTTTAATCTGTGAATTACTCAAAAAAAAGAATCAATTCTGATGTTATAACATTGTACATAAATATTGCTTGTTTGCAGTACAGAAGAAAAAGGTTTGCAGTAAATGGTCAAATTGTTGCAATATAATGACAAAGTCAATATTTTATTATGAAAATCCCCAGATGTGAATAATTTTAAGGAGGTACACAACTTTAGGTAGTTTGAAGTAATTCTGCGAATTTTTTTCTGGAACAAAGTAAACCTTTAGATATTGGCAAGACTAGACAAACCTCCTTCAAAGACCAAAGTCCATGTTTTTCAATGTGGAAACCTAGAAAATCCGATTGATAAACAAAATTTAATAATGTATAACTTCGCATGGTCCATCAAGTGTCACTTTATACCACCTGTAGAAAATTTTGTCAAACTTCCCATATGCAAAAATGGCATAGAACATGCACATATTTTCCTATTGCAAAACCCCAAAATAAAATTAGATTGATAGAGTAAAGGGGAAAATGTACAACCATACATGGTATGAAGTAATTCTACCAAGTTTGTTCCAGTCCTATGCAAACTGTAGGGGATTTTATGTCGGCAAACTTTAGTGATGGAAAGACAGATACTTAAAAAACAACATGTCTCCTCACATATTCAATGTTAGTGACTTTATTACAGGTAGGATATGAAAAAATATAAGCATTTGTACAATTTTGCCTCTCAATGAACTCATATTTATTCATTGAATAATCTGGATTTGTGCTGTTTGATTATCATTTGAAATTTTTTTAAATCTTCTTGGTTGTAGAAGCTATAAAATGAAATTATCACAGTTATACATCTTAGATCCTTTTTTCTTTCGCATCTAAGAAATAACAGGTGACCAGTCTTGACCAAAAATATTAGGACTACAATATTAAATGTTCTATATACACCTTTAACATCTTGCTGTTGGATTATACCAGTTCATAATATGATTGCACTAATGATCTATTGTATACCATTATTTCAAATAATTTGTATATTTCTTGATGCAAACCCAACTATCATTATACTACCTTCATTGTATTGTTAAGATTATGGTTATGTCTGATCAAATCAGATGTTTTTTTCACAAATGAATGTATTCATAGGAACAGATTTGTGTCGATTAATATATTAAATTGAAATCTGTATTGTATTATTTTTTTCTGCCTTATTTAACAGCTATCAAAACAAACAAGAGCAGACACACAGAAATGTTGTGCCAACAAATGGATTTTGACTGAATAGCACTTGATTATATGACTACATGCATTCAGTTACAAGCTTATTTCAAAAGGATATAATAGTTCTAATTTTACAGTAACCTCGTTAATAGATAGAATAGAGAATGTGTCAAAGAGACAACAACCTGACCAAAGAGCAGAAAACAGCCCAAAGCCACCAATTGGTCTTCAACTGGGCGAAAAATCATGCACACGGAGGGTTTCACAGCAAATGTTTCTGACACAGAACGAATTTGGTCTGAGAACTTTAAACTTAAAAATTTGAAATTGGACATCTACCTATTATGGTCCAATATCCAAAATCTAAATACATGGTTAGATTCAGCATATCAGAGAATCCCAAGAATTCAATTTTTGATGAAATCAAACAAAGTTTCATTTTGGACCCTTTGAACCTCAATGTGGACCAATTTGATAAAGGGGCCCAAAATCCAAATCTAACTATCCTGTTGTCTGCTCTATGGTCGGGTTGTTGTCTCTTTGACACATTCCCCATTTCCATTCTCAATTTTAAGGTTAGATTCAACATATCAAACAATCCTATATATTCAATTTGTGTTGAAATCAAACAAAGTTTAATTTTTGACCCCGATTTTGACTAACTTGAAAACTGGTCCCAAAATCAAAAATTTTAATACATGTTTAGATTTAGCATATCAAAGAACACTAAGAATTCAATTTTTGTTAAAATCAAACTCAGTTTAATTTTGGACCCTTTGGACCTCAATGTGGAGCAATTTGAAAACCAGGCCAAAAATCAAAAATCTAAATACATGGTTAGATTCAGCATATCAAAGAACCCCAAGAATTGCTTTTTTTCGTTGAAATAAAACAAAGTTTAATTTTGGACCCTTTAGACCTGATAAACAGACTTGGGATTCTCTGATATGCTGAATCTAACCATGTATTTAGATTTTGGATATTGGACCATAATAGGTAGATGTCCAATTTATCTAAAAGACTTATAACATACTAAAATGCATAGACTTGTCCATAGTATATATCAGCATTTCGAAAGTATTTTAGTCTAGACCCCATCTAAATAACTATCGAGGTGACCTCCGAAGACTGCTGATGGTCATATAACCGGAACTAAACATAAACATAGATATAAATAGATTGCGAACTCGTGCAATTGGATTTTTCTAGGTCTGTTTGATTTCATACTATAGGTTAAAAAAATATGTTAATAATCGTTTTTACCTGTATAAGAATGAGTTTTTCTAGATCGAACCAGTCAACCAAATGGTTTCCTCTTGTTTCACTTTCAATGCTTTAAAATACTCTTTTCCATTTAATAACTGAATATGCCTAGTTCATGCGTTACCCATCTCTAGCTATAGGGATCAATTAAAATTCTCATGAATATGGATTCAATGGGGTCGAATTATTCACTTGCAAGTGAATAATTTATTAGTGATGTTTCTTTGCTTAATTTGACAAAACTGAACCAAACTGGCTGTTTAAAGCGAATTATTATTTCACTATTTCACTTTCATTAATGATTGAACAAAAATAATCATATTTTATTTTTTTTTATATCTCGTAGCTAATGCCCCTTTAATGTGAACCAATTTGAAAAAGGGGCCCAAAATTAAAAATTCAAATAAACAGTCAAATTCAGTATATTAAAGAACTTCAAGAATTGAAGACTTTGAATTAAACCCCATTGAAATTGGTCAAGAAATAAGCATTTTATACAAAGTATTAGAAAAGTATTGTTTTTGTCCATTTTTTCCTAAACGGTTAGGGCCATAACCCCCAAAATTAATCCCAACCTTCCTTTTTTGTTTGGAACCTTGTAGAACAATTTCAAATAGATCCATAGACTTTCTCAATTTTTTGTCCGGAAACCAGTAAAGATTGCACTTTGTATACAGCTGTTTCACAAGCCACGCCTCTTTTGGGGAGATATATAATATTCATAGATATGTTAATTTGTTTACGTACTGGTTCCCAGATATGATCTCTGTGTTTCATCTCACAGAGACATAAATTGGGAATGTTACCAGTATAGAAAAACATGGTAGCGCCTAAAATTTAATTCTTAGGAGGTCCAAAAATGGAGGTAGGGGTAGTATAGAATTTTAGTATAAGTTTAAACTCTTAGAAGTTCAGGGCATATAAATGTTGAAAATATGTCGCACAGCCCTATATTTTGACCTTTGAATAAAATAGTAGTGCATATCAACTTTCCGTTCTGGGATATAATTTTTCACGAAACTTCACAGTACAAGTGGCACAGTTTTAGCCGCAAAGGGAGTTCCTATGGGAAATTGCATTGTCTATATTTACAGAATTGCAACCTAAAGCCTTGATTTTTCACCCCTAATATCTAAGCAGTTTCAGCCATAACCCCCAAAATCAATCCCAACCTTTCTTTTTTGGTATGAAACCTTGTGGTACAATAACCTAGAGATCCATTCACTTATACACAAGTTATTGTCCTGAAACAAGAATCAAAGCATCATGTATGTTGTGATTCAGCCAATTTTGTAGCTAGTCTGACATTTTTTCTGACCATACTTTCAATAATTATTTTGTTATCTTCATTTCCATAATCTCACTGTAAACTTTCTATTCTCTAGCCAAAAGATGGAGAATTTTGCAATATTGATGCAAATTATTTCGGTATTTCAATTGAAGACACTGTCAGATTTTTTACATCTTTTTTTTAGAAACATTTGAAATTCAATAATTTTGACAAGAATGTTAAGGGAAATCTTCAAATGTGTAGCATATTTTTTATATGCCATTAATAATAGTTGGCTTAATAATTTCCAGAAAGAGGCATTAAAAATGCACTTTCTCAACAACAACAAAAATTAATAACTAACTTTTATCTAAATTGGTGTACATTATTCATTAAGGAAAAAATACATTTCCTGTATTCAAATATACATGTACAAATACCGAATGCTGAGATAAATCCAATTACTGTTAAATAGCAATATAATGGGGAATATACAAATAAATTTATTGCGGAAAATGCTCCGGTAAGAGTTATGCAATTGTGTTTATTGCTTTAACCAAATTACTGATAATTGTAACTTAAATGGACCTACTTATTAACTGTTGTCAGATGATTATGACACTGATTTTACAATTATTGAGGTCAAGATTTTGTGTATTCAGTTAGATGTGAAATAAATTGAATACACAAATTCTTGACCTCAATACCAGTATGATTATCAACGGTCATGATATATTAATATAACTGTGGCCAATTAAGACTGCATTTGAGTGGAGTTTAATCCAATTAATACTTACACCTTTGAGTGTAATTGTTTGAAAATCTTGGCAGCTGTCCATCATACTGGTATTATATCAATAATCTCATTTGTCTAATGCAAGAATGGGAATAATAGCATTTCAAAAAAGTGTGAGAATCAAATCTGATATCAATACACATCTTGAACCAAATTTTGTTCAATGGCTTACAGGAACATAAGATACTGATAAAACACTTTCGTTGTTCTTCTCAACTGCTTAAATTTGATAAATCACATTTTCCACATTAATTAATAAATGGCAATTTAATATAAATTTTGATTTACAAAGGAAATATATGCAAGTGTATATTTAAAATAAAGAAGTTGTTCGCCCAACCTTTTCTTAATTTAAGGACAAATAACATATTAAAAGTTGGCAGTTGATGATTAAAATTGTGTATAAAGTTTCTGCAAGTCATAGAAACACAAAATTATTTTCATGACATGTCTTCAACTTAGAATTTTGCATCATCTCCAAACCGGAGTCATCACATATATCCAGCATGGCTGAATAAAAAATGCTTGATTTTGGCCCCTAATACCTAAATAGCTAGGACAATAACCTCCATAATCAATCCCAACCTTCCTTTTGTGGACGACGTCATTTCGTTATACGGCTGCAAAAATATTGCAGACGTATAAAAAGCAAATATGATCAGAAGAACATAATCCTCCAAAAATAAAAAAATAAGATGTGGTATGATTGCCAATGTGAACTCTCCACAAGAGACCAAATGACACAGAAATTAACGACTATAGGTCACGGTACAGCCTTCAACAATGACCAAATCCCCATACCGCATAGTCAGCTATAAAAGGCCCTGAAATGACAAATGTAAAACAATTCAAATGAGAAAACTAACAGCCTAATTTATGAACAAAAAACAAAGTCTATAATGTCTGAAATCATGTCGTAACTCAGGTTATTAAGCTTGAATGATTTTCACTTTTTTATTCGTGTTTTTGACGAATGGGCAAATCTTGTTGCACTTTAGCAAAATGTTATTCAAAAATGCCAGGTGGGCCAAATCATTTCATATAGTTCTTTGTTGTTATTCTGTAACACACTGTCCCTGGTTAGGGTAGGATGGTTTGGTTGAGTGCTCACAACCATGTTTAACCCACCCGGGTGATTCTGCTCTACTAGTACTAGTGGAACCTGTTTTGGTTTGGCAGATAGATATTGGATATCACATTTGGGGAGATGACAAGGATTGTTTGTGGCTACAAGTGAACCATAAAAGAGGTCATCTGTACTCGATGTTGGTAAACCAAATCATGATGGTGTCTGTAAAACTTCAAACACATGACTTCAACTTTACAATCTTTTGAACCTTGTCCAACCTTCATAAATCTAAGCTTGAGAATGCCCATCAAAAATACCCAATCAACTTTTCAAAGGCCAAGGTCATAAAACTTGGATTGAAAGTTTGACTGGTCACTAGTAGAGGAATTTTAGAACAGGTAGATAACAATTACTGAACAGTTTGAACATATCTAAATTGACTGCGAGCGAATTGTCTGAACAGTACTGAATTTACTGCAGAGGACAATTCTGAAAATTAATTGAAAGACTGCAAATGACTTAATAATTCATTGTAGTTTTTTAAGAGCTGTTCAGATCAGAATTGGTTT